ACTTCTCTGTTGACACCCACCCCTTGGCGCTCATATGACCTTATGCAGTTGCGAGGGCCGTAAAATCCTCTACTAAAACTAAACTAAAATATCTATCGTCCGTATAAAATCTCAACTCCTTCTATTTTGTGTTTGTTACTCTCTTGTAACACCTCTAATCTTTGGCACTTATATGACGTTATTGTGTTGAGAGTGCTGTAAAATTCTTACCCCCAAAAAAATGACCTTATTGTGTTTCAATTGCCGTAAAACTCTTACTAGAAAAGAAAAAAATATGACTTTATTGTGTTGCAAGTGCTGTAAAACTTTTTCCCAAAAAAAAAAATCCTTTCCTATAAAAAAAATCTATCTTCTCTTTCTCCCCTTCTGCTTTTTTGTGTTTGTTCCTCTCTTGTAACACCTCTAATCTTCAGCACTTATATGACCTTATTGTGTTGCAAGTGCCGTAAAACTCTTACATAAACTAAACTAAAGGCCTTCATGTCTGTTTTGTGTGTCAGTTTTGAGTGTCACTTTATCTATGATATTCAAGACTTTTTATTATCTATGATGTTTTATCTACAGTGTTTTATCTACAATGTTTTATCTATGATTTATCTACGTTGTTTTATCTACGATGTTTTATCTACAATGTTTTATCTATGATGTTCAGGACTTTAATGTCAGTTTTGAGTGTCACATCTACGATGTTTTATCTACGATGTTTTATCTATGATGTTTTATCTACGATGTTTTATCTACGATGTTTTATCTATGATGTTCAAGACTTTTATGTCAGTTTTGAGTGTCACTTTACCTTAACGGATTCTTTTCTTATTTCTGTGTGTGTGTAGAAAAAACCGACAAGCCCTGCACCCACCACGTTGCACTCCCGGCCCTCTACCTCTGCCACCGCCTCGTCGAAGAACACCCGCAAGGAACCCCGCGGCGGCGGGAGTGGTTCAGGGGCAGGTAACTTGCCGGGCAACCTCCTAGACTCGTCGGCACCCGTGCAGAAGCGAGGGAAGGAAAGAGAGGTGGGGCGGACGAAGAAGCCGAGTCCGCTGAAGAAAGTCATCCTGAAGGAGAGGGAGCAGAGGAAGAGATTGAGACTTTTGGACGAAGATCCTGATGGGCCTTCTAGTCTAGCTAGCGTTGGGTGAGAGAGAGAGAGAGAGGGGG